AATCATGATCTAACATTGAAAATGATCAAATTAAATGTCGAAGTTGAATCAATGCCAAAACGTGTTTATTAAACATAATTAAAGCAAAAGGAGGACCAACTAAATATTAAAGTATATTGTTAAAATATAAAAACTTGAAAATATTTTCAATTTATTTTAATAAACTGTTATTTGTTCTTAGCTTTTACTTTTTGTAAGGTATTTTTTGTACAATTGTTTTAAGTGCAAGTGTTTTTATCCTTTTTTTAGTTTAAGATTCCTAATCAGAAAATTCAAAAGCGTAAAGAAAAATTTTCCTTTTTTTTTTTAACAAATGAAAAATTTGACAAAGTTAAAACTAATGCATAATACAATATTTTATTCAAAGGTATTAATTTTATTAAAAAATTATTTTGTACGATTAAATTCTCACTGTATAATCAAATTCTCACTGTATATGAAGAGCTCATTTTCAAAACGCTGTAAATCCATTTTTTGGGTTTTGAGTAAATCGAACTTTTCTCCAGAATAAAGAAATTAAGTATTTTGGAACAAGTTATTATTGATTTAGTTAAACATGTATTTTATTAATAAGACTACAATATCTACTGAAATTGAGCTTTATGAAAATGATGTATATTCAGTGGTTATTTTTGTTTTGTTTCAAAACGCTGTATATCCAAGTATTATTTATTAACAAAACACTTTATATCCATTTCATTAATAAAATTTATTTATTAATGAAACATATTATTTTGTTATGGATTCTAAGATCTACCTTAAAATCTTGTTCTCCTTTGATATAAATCAGCAACTTTTTTTAAACAATTCAGAAGTGCAACTATAAAAATATATAAAGTATTAGTGACTGTACTGTATTGTACTTTTGTCTACAAGACCGAGAAGACGAAAAACATCGTCTTTCTTCGCAAGTTTGATTACGAATGTTGTGGTCTAAATGTCTCCCTTTTCTTCCCTTTTTTAAGAATACTGGGTGATTTTGGCTCAGAATGGTAACTAAATGCAACTACTTCTAGCTTGTCTGAATTAATAAGAAGTTTTTTTGCTTCACTGATTTTAAATGTTTTTTTGCTCATAACAAACCATTTTGACTTCTGATTTGAATTCGAGTGCTGACCAATCCTGCCCGTAAACCATGACTTTTCCATGCTGGCTAAGTATGTGTATGTATTCATTAGGCTCAAAAAGTTGGTCTCTTTTTTTAATATCTAGCTGAATTCGACCAAACACACGATCAGCTGGCAGATATGAGTGACCTCGTTTGGGAAAAGTATGTATAACCTGCAATTTATTAAAATATTGTTTTCTTAGAGCAAGAAGCATATATGCCATATTTATGTTTTTGTTCTGGCCTTAGCAAGCATCAGAAAACAACCGAAGTGACGAGGCGTTGAAACGATTATCTTTTAAAACATTTTTAAAAGAATCAATGAATCAATGGTCGAGTTTGTTATAACTTGTTATAACTTTAATGAATTTTTCAAAAAATCATAAGTTTACTGATGACTCTTAGAAAGGGCTCTAGTTTTTATAAATTTAAAATATATATTTTTTATAATCATACATGTCATATTTATGTTTTTGTTTTGGCTATAGCATGCATCAGAAAACAACCGAAGTGACGAGGGGTTGAAACGTCTATCTTTTAAAACATTTTTAAGTAGATGTTCTATAGCTGAACAGATAATATTTGAATCTTTCCTATTCTCACACTCTATCCAAGTAAAAATATAAATATCGTTATCAGGCTGAGACTTATCACCATTATGAATAACAACAACAAAGACATAAAAATAAAGCTGCCTAGAATAGAAGGTTTTTCCGATTAATAATTTTGGTAGTACAAGGTTCTCCATCATGTCAAAACAGATAGTGATCTCATTGGGATGAATAAAATTTTCTGGCTTTCCTTCAATGAAGAATGAAAAGAGCAGTTTTTAATTTTTTTTTGTCATCAGTAATATTTTGGTTTTTCATAGCCAACTTATATGTTTGACATGTAGAGCATGTATCTGTTGCTAAGTATCCAAAAACTAAATTGAAATGGTTCATAAATACCCCATAATAATAATGGTAGCCTACAGTATAAGTATTATTTTTATCCAAATAAGAAATCGTAAATCCGCTTTACATTTAAATCAGAGAGCAAATATTTACGTCCTGGAGTACCTTTTCTTCCATAATGACTTGCTTTGCAAGTAAAATACTGAATATGGTTGTTAATAGCTTCTTTCTTTTCAGAAAAAGCTACTTTGTTCCTGTCTCCTCCTCTTTTTTCAGGTTGTTCCATGTTCATACCAGTGTCTTGCAATTCTTAAAACTCTATCAGGTTATATGGCTGGAATAAATTAATAAAATATTAACTTTTTCTCACTAATTTTTTTTAACAAAATATACATTCTATTTTTGAATTAAAAGTAACTTTATACTTACACAATACTGAACAAAATGAGCTTTGCAAACTCGTACTTTAATTCCTTCGAAGCATAAAAAGTACTCA